TGGCTTAAAAAAAAATTATGAATCAAATGATAAGTTAACTTCAATTGTAGTGCTCCTTAAAGACAATTTTAAAAGAAATGATACAATCAAAACTCAAGTAATGTATGAATATTTCAATTTTCGTAGTTTAGTTTCGTTATTTTACTTATTTGCATTGACTCACCAAAAATAGATGTTTCTATTGCTTAAAGAAATTATGAACATCAAAATATTTAAAAAGTATCTTAATTTTATTTAACAAACATTTTAAATCAATCGAGCACATATTTACAAAATTGTTTTTAGTAATATTATCAATTATTTTATCTAATTGTTTCTCTCATTTTCAAGCTGGTGGTGTGCCCAACAAATTTTTTTCTATGCATAAGACATGCGTTTAGGCCATGCATATATACAACCATGAAAAAAATGGCTTCTTGCATTATAACAACTAGCAGACCATTTTGTCAAAGTTTTGGGTTTTGAGCCAAGAAAGTTTTTCCCTCACTTGTAACTCAATTTACCTATATTCATATGGGCGGATTTTAGCCCAAGTGAAGTGAAGGAGAATATGCTTCACTAAGAGAGCTCCTTGAGACACTGATTATTCCTTCTCTCTCTTGTCCTAGTGAATTTACTTGTTCTACACCTACTAAAGGATCAAGTATTTCTCTTGGTTATCTACAATGTTTTGCTCTCACCAAATCTTAAGAGAAATTTATAGTGCACTTAAAAAGACTAAATGAATGGGTTCTTGAACCTTTAAAGATAAAAAAAAGCAATTCCACCCACCAAACAAAGAGGTGTGCAAGACTTGCAGGTCAGTAAAGGAAGGAGAAAACGTATTTTCCAAAAGAAAAGTGCAAGGTACAGGGACATATTCAGTGAGAGCAAAGATAAGTATAAACCATGGTTTGCAATATATCAAGCATTTACTTTTTGGCTCTTCGCATTCAAGTTTATCTTGGAAATTGTCACGATTGCAAATTTATAGGGAATATTGTGTTGAATGAAAAAGGATTCATTTAGCCGACCCCACGTAGTGGGATTAAGGCTTTGTTGTTGTTGTTGTTGTTGTATTGTGTTGAATGAAACTATACTACTATGCTTAAGCTTTCAACACTCATTATTTTAGTCTTCGGCATTATACTCTTCATCGCCACTATGCACTATGGTGTGCATTTATAAATAGTTTATTTGCATTGCACTTATTTTGAGAGTATTGAAAGAAATTGCCAAATTTCTGTTAGATCACCACCACCGACGCTTTTTGCCAAACCGAATCCTGCAAATTAATTTGAAGATTTATTTTAGGTGCAAGTCTAAAAAGCAAATTTAGCCATTTATTAGTTATTACTGTTTGGTATAAATAGGGCTTATTATAATTAGGGTTAGGTTATACTTACTATTGTTGTCTTTGGCTCGTAGGGTTAGGACTTGGGAGAAATTGCCTACCTCTCGAATTGTAGGTCCTTATTTTTTTAATATTTGAGTTGTGTTGCTTGAGATTTTTGCAATAAAATATTTTATTGTGCCTTAATTTTGTGAATGACCTTCGGGATCTTATCATTTTCTTACTTTGATATTGGCTCCCCATTTCCATAAACATAACAAATAGGCAATAAACAACTCCAACCCAAAATCATAGCTAGTATCTTCCCAAAATATTTGAAAGTAGCTTCATTGAATGTCTCTTCTCCCTTAGCTCCACCTTAGTGCTACATGGGGTGTCAACTTTAAATTGTACATAATTTTTAATCATGTTACCTTTAGTCTATGCGAGTTTCTTCACAAATCCCTCAAATATTAATTCTACCAATTATATATCATGAGTGTGTTTGATGCCCTCCATTGTAATTTTAAGACTTAAAATTTTGCACTACCTTAAGTTCTAACTATATTATCTCATATTTGCTATCATTGCCCAAAAAATAGATCCACAAAGAACAATCTTTTAATCACATATTTATAAAATTTATAATTGTCTCAATGATACTCGCACAGCATGACACCACTGAGAAACTCATAAATTTTAATAAATAAGCTTTATCTATTGCAACCCAATATAAAAGGCCTGATTGGAACTTTTTTCCTAGGTCAAGCCAGGCCAATCTAACGAAGCTAAGCATCACTTGAGAGCATAGGCCAATGGCCAGGTAGTTTAATTCAGGATTACGATTCACATGCAGAAAATCATCCCTACTCATGCAAACCTACAGAAAATTTTGTCATGGCTATACAGTGAAGTGTCATTTTCTAATTTCTACTAAAATTAACTTTAAATTAACTATGATGTACAAACACACAAACTGGGACACAAAAAGACACAACATGGACAGTGGATACAAAAATTTTGAAAAATAGAAAGGAAGAGCACAACTAAAGAAAACATTTTAATTGATAAACTAAAAATCACATGCTTCATAACTTTAATACTTTTAAATTAAACATGACAAATAATATAAGTACATAAACTGAAATGCTCAATCAAATGGTAAAGATAATGACTTAATTATGCCTGAAGTCAGAACAATATGAATAGAGAATAATATGGAGGAAAGATGAAATAGACGGACTTAAGTTTGATAAGGTATAAAATTGACTAAGAAAAACATAATTTCTGTATAGCATATACATGGCATGGTCAACATATTGTCCAAAAGTTGTAAGTGTGATGTGATACAACAGCCCTTTAGAAATGTCTGTGCTGCATAAAGTGAAAATTGATCCAGCGCTTTTTTTTTTTAACATGGCAATGCATCTATTATGAAATAAAACTGCCTAATAATTCAATAAGTTCACACACGTGATTGTTAAATTATGGATTGGCTGCACTACACGGGTTGAATCCAGGCATTATACTCATTGAGTTTCTAAAACAAATAGTTCAAAAGTATCATTTCGGTGTCGATGAATTGCAAGGATCTGATGTTTGCAAGGCCAATTTCATTTTCTTTTTGTTTGAGCAGAAGCACCAAGCGTAACTAATCGCTAGAGTATTTTGACTGAAATGAAGGCAGCAAATTCATTGATCTAGGAAACACCAGAAAAGAAGAAAACAGAAGAACAATCTCATGAAAAAATTTAACGCGGTTATCTTAGCCAGCTAACTGGATCATAAATTCTGAACCACGCCAAACTTCAAGGCTGCATAAAGTTTCATTGGTCCATGCTACGAAAAATGAATATATCTAAAGAGATGTGGCTGTAGGTTCGAAAAAATGTAACAGATGACCTTTTTCCAGATTTTACGGCTAAAAGTAAATTAAAAAAAGATAAAATAAAGAAATTCATACTATCATACTATCATCTAATAAATTAAAATATCACATAGTAAAATAGTGCATCATTACCTATGAAGATTAAGAAAATCAATGCTATTTTTATAATCAGGTATTTTTATTTATCTATCATCAAAACATGCATAAAATTGCTATCTTTAATAATTACGTTCTTCTTTTAATGAATTAAACTTTATCTGTATATAAGTAAGATTGATATCCAATATGTATTATTGGCTATGAAGCATGAACATTTCTAAATGCCTTCCATGTTAGTGTCGGATATGTATATGAACATGGACATGACTCTGACATGTATTTGACACTTCCAAAATTAAGTAAAAGCTTTTTAAGTGTGAACTCGAATTCCAACACTTTTCGGACATGAATATACATAAAGGAGGCATGATGAAACATAAGCAAAACATGCTGAAATAGAAACAATTCCTATATTTCTACTGCATGGTGTCTTGACCATCTATAATCTAGCATCTCATGAGGCAATACAGTACCATCTCCCATCTCCGCTTCTTCGTCATAAATGAAATCGCGAACAATCTCATTGTGCACTAGCCTCCCATCTATGCATCTTCTTCTACACAAAGCAACACCTGCGAGTTCCCCCAAGCCCTAGCTGGCATGACTCTACTCAACTTCACGATGTAGCAAGGTGATGAATAAAATGCATTAGAAACCTAGTTTATGTATTTTTTTAGTAGATTATAGAAGTGCAATTGATTTATCAAGTTCTTTCCTTTTTTTTATGTCTCCTATGAGAAGGCATGCTTATGTACATCAAAGCTCTCCTTCTTTAGACTATAATGTTCGTTTTTCTCCTCTTATCTTGTCACATGCAAATGTTCATTTGGACACTACGATTCCTCAAATAATTGACTTTTTTTGCATTAAAGCCATTAAATGAAATTAAGGCTTTAACTATAGCCCATTATTCTTATTGCTCATGTTCTAATATATTCATTGTTTATATTTTTCATTGTTATTTTTGTCAATAAAATACTAGGAATTATACATTTTATATTAATAAATTATAAAATAAAACAACATCTCCACATCATATTGTATCTTACTTTTTGAAGTTATGCCATATCATCATATACGTGTTCATATTCACGTCATGTTCTGGTGTCTTTGTCTGTATCTAGTTTTATAGAGTATTGTTTGCTCACAATCTAGCTTAAATGATTGCATCCTAGCATAAAATTATAATAAACTATGGTCCTTATCCAAAATTCAGCATGCCACTATTTTAACCCAAATTAATTGATGCTCCGCATTACCTGAGAAGGCTTATTTCATTTGAAATTAGCAAAAACCAATTCAAAACAAAGGTTTTGGATGAGTTCCAGGGGATCCTGAGGAATTTAACAAATCTTAATTCTTCTTCTTTATAACTTCATGCGAGTATCTTCATCACTACAACATATTTTCTAAGCATTTCGCATTACATTATAATCATATGTTTTCTTATTATTAATATATACTTAAATATACATTTCATTTCTAGTTACTAAATTTATTAAAACAGAGAAATAATGTGTCCTTCATGGTTTTGTTCCATTCCTATATACTTTTCAAGAGCGTATGTTTATTACTCCATGTCCCTACTTCATAGTGTATTAGATCCCGTTGATCTAGCAATTAAGCCCCATCCTTTAACAAATTTACTATAATTAACAACTACTAAAATGTAGAAATAATTGTCAGGCAGAAAAACTATACCTCGGCATTCTTCACGTCAGGTAACAAGTGTCGATTCACCATAATGTACCACAAAGAATCTCCAGCCCGTGGAAGCACATACAATGCCAATTCAGATCTCTTGCCCTTCTTTTCCAGAAGTATTGAGAGTCCAGCAAATGCTCCAGCAATCCAATATACAAGTTTGTGATCTTTAATTGCCACCTTTCGGTGCAAACATATAAAAGCCTAACAATATCCAGAAAGATGTCAATAACTACTGGATGATGAGCATAAATAATGGAGAATTTGTAAAATTTACCTGAAATAATGCAACAAAAGCCGAAAGAAAAGATGTCGAACGGACAGCACCAAGAACAGCAATCCAACTAGTCTGAATAGGTGCCTTAAGAAACTGGAAAACCGTTCATAGAAACCAATCAGTCATACTTTTGCAATTCAAAGACAATTTTCATGTTTCTCTTTAAAGAATGAGGGATATTTCAACAGCTTCAAACTTTTTTCATTCAAAATTTCAGAGAACCACAATAACTTGTGAAAATTAATTGCTCCATAAGTAATATAAAGAAATTTCAATTCTTTCCAAGGATTCCTGATGGACAAATAGCCTTAATCAGCTGTCTAGGTTGGGTTATGACTCCCATACCACTCAGTCCAACAATTGCAATACAGTATGATACAGCAAAAATTCAGCTATATTCTAACTATAGTTTAAAACTAGTTGAAGGATCAATAGCATCCCCTACCTAGACATGTTTCATTGGCTTATTGGTTGGACTATCTGACAAGTTGAGTCAATAAGGGCAAGTACAGTACACTTTAAAAAGTTGTAAAAAAAGACCTATAAATAATTTTAAGTTAATAGACTTAATTGATCGTGCATTGCTGCGTGTTGGAAAGAAGCTTCATGAGATATATTACTAATGAAATTGATCCTTCACGTAATAAGGCGCTCCAGTGAGATGATTAGGTCGAATGTGTGCAGATTTATTAACAAAATTATGAAAGAATATAACTACGTTATCAAATTCAAGGTGGGGAATTAACTCTAAATTAGAATTGCAGTCTTTCAAACTACTGATACATAACTCCAGCTCTGGTATAGCCAATCAAAAAGAGAACAGCATAGGCAAACTTCTAATATCTTTAATAAATCAAACCATTGAGCTAGAACTCTGAAACTGACAGAATGACTAACATACAATATAGGCTTTAACAATCAAGGCAATTGGGGTGGATGCTAAATTTTCTGGGTATACTATAGCCATCAGAGTATATGCATGTTTTATAACAGAAATGATAACAGTTTCACCAACAGATGCACGGTTCTTCAAATCAATCCAGACTAAATAACCATTAGGAGTCAACATAAATAAAATGTATTCACCAAATAATTTAAATTTTAAGGGTTTAAAAATATGATCTAAGAAATTAAATTAACATCAACATCATGAGATACCTTTTGCAGACGAAGAACAACAAATGGAACAAATGTTAATGAAAAGTATAGGGGAAAAGTCTTCCTGAAAGTTAATGATGCAGCTGCAGCATTATGAGCTACACAAGAATCACTGTTGGGATGAATTATAGAGCAAGGTATTATGGAGGGATACTCAGTCAAATTTAAATGACTGGATCCCTTTATATTTGACACGTGAGCAGACAGAGTAACAACATCCACTGGAGAACCTCTACAAGTGTCTCTCACAGCCTTATATACAGACTCTGCAACCGGTCCTGTCTTTTGAATAAAATCCTGATATGCCCTAGGTAAGCTCTCAGGTCTCATTACAAATGCATACATGACCTACAATTTAATGAAGAAATTGCAATTAAAAATCTGTAAGAGAAGAGATATCAACATGTTTGTAGAGCATGTTCATAAAATCTCAAAGAGTTAATAGTGAGCAACCATTCCAAACAAAAAAATAAAAAAGATAGTAAAACTGTGATAAATGCCTTGGTTTGATCAGGGTTTAAATGATTTTCACCTGAGCAGAAACCAGAGAAAAAAGCAATGAATCTCCATGCTTCCAGTGGCTTCCCCAAAGATGAAATTTATTCTTTGACTTTGCAGAATTATATGCGCACTGCAAAATAGAGTTGTGATAAAAAAGAAGTAAAAGAATTAGTTAAAGATAATTTAGCATGGATTAACATAAACATGTGTTCACCTGAGCAAGCCTAGCAGCAAGGTATAAAGCAAGAGTGCGCCTCCTACTTGGATCATCTAATGCCAATATAGACAAGCCAGCAACAGAACCTGCTAAGATTCTGCTCCATCACGCCTTAAACTAAGTCACAAATATGGATGAAGAAACAAAAAGAAATGAGAAGGGGACTCCTTAACTTACGCATTCAATGGCGTTTCTTTCTTCCTGAACTTTCTCAAGAAGCAGCGTAGAGCGTGATAGGAACCAGTGAAACCACCAAAAAGCAACCCAATACGGCATGCTTCCTCTCTCACTATCAAGTCCTTCTCAGAAACAAGTTGCTGGCATGGACAATACAATATTACGATTAAACAACGGATTGCTCCAAGTAAAACAACTACTTCAAGTTAAGTTCCTACTGTAATCAAAACATTGAATTCTCCAAAGAAGCCTAGTAATAAGCACATTAAACACTTGCTACTAGATCTGTAGTAAGACAGACAAATCCATGCATAAAACAAAACCAGTTACCAACAAAATAGTGCACCAGATACTGCCATAAAGCAAAATTGAAAAGAATCCGGACGACCGGGCAAACCTTGAGATCAATAATAGAGGAATAAGAACGGCGTCGGGCGAGTTTGAAGGCTCGTAGGAGGATCCCAATCCCAACCCTAACCCCATAAGAAAGCAAAAAAGTCTGGCAAAGGTTCCCGATGGCGTTAGCCACACATGACTCGTCGGCATGGTCGCAAGCCGAGTGTTCCCCTTCTACGGAGCCATTACCGCCGCCACCCCGCCGTGCGTAGTGGAGCTGCAGCTCCTCGATCGCATCCTTCAGCCTCTCCTCAGCCTCGCGGAGTGCCGCGCGGCGCTCAGCAGCGGAACCATTTTGGAGGGAAGGAGAGAAGGAATCGTCTATCATGGACGAAGAAGAAGCCATGGAAGGCGATCGGCGAGCGGCCGCGGCATTAGCGAAGGAGTGAAGCTCACCGCCGTTATAAATGGCGCCGTGGGAGGATAGTGAGACGGAGGGTTGAAATGCTATAGGCGATTTGGGTAATATAAGATGTACCGCGGCCTAGTTTATGGAACAGTTATTCGAGCACGCATCCGGCATGATCTTTGGTCAACGGAGTTGTTTCACTAAATTAATAATTAATAATTAATAATTAATATATGATTTAAAAATATATATTTATATAAATTTGAAGTATTTATTTATCAAATATTTAAAATTTTAATTCATATAACATTAATTTATCTAAAATAAAGTACATCTTTTAAAGTATATATTTTGAATTGATAGAAATACCAACAAATATAAGTAAACATAAATATTTAGGTGTCAAATTTATAAATAAAATCAGGGGCAAAACCAAAATTTTTTTTATGATGAGCAAAATAGATTTTTTTAAGTATTAAAAAATATATTTAGTGGGAGTATAATCACTAAATTATCTAAATTTAATAAGAAAAAAGTATATATTAAATTATAAAGATATTATAAATTTCAGTAGACAATTACATATGATATAACCCTTTTGCTTTTTAACTCTTTCCTTGCATTTTTTTGGTTAGCTAACACGTTCAAATGGTAAGAAAGAAAAAAAATTGAACATATGGGTTTATTTTGTTATAATTTTCAATATTATGGTTAGACTTTCAAAAGTAGAGATATGAATTTGTTATTCTTGTATATAGCATATAATTGATTGATATGTACATAAATTTTAATAAATTGAATAATTTCATTCTGGCAAGTTGTCTGTGATTCGCTACTAAGAGAGAATCTAAAAGTTAATATTCAAGTTGAAAATTAAATAATAAAAATATAAGGCCAAATAAAATAATCATAATGTAAAACATAAACCATTTCTATTGGAATATAAATGGAAAAATATCATATGCTATAAAGACTTTGTAAATATTATAATAATTTTGAAAAAAAAAAATAGAACTTGTAATACGAGTAGCAATGTACTTGCGTCATGTGTTCACATTAGCTCTTAAAAATAAAAATAAAAAAACTAAAAGGCCTACCTAAAGCCCAAAAGTAAGAGTGACGAAGCAATGCGATTGTAGTTCGTAAGAAAGGTGAAGGAGGCTGAAACTAAAAAGAGTCCAACCAGGGCCAAGCAAAACCAATCATGAGTGCATCCGAGCGATTATCACAATCATGCCAAATCCAACAAAGATATGGGCCAAAAAGACCATAAAAGTGAGAAAAGATAAGAAGACACATTCTAAACATAGAGGACACTAAATACCTTTAAGGCTACCTATAATAGAGAATTAAAATAACAACCAAAAGTTTTATATATGGACTTAAAAACTATATTGAAAAATGGACCTTCTATCAAAAATATTGGCATCTCCTTACAAATGAAATTAAAAAAATCTCTATCTAATAAAAATAAGTAAACACATAGAAGAATGTTGAACATTTCCACAATAGTAATAACTAATCCCCAAAATCCTCAAATAACATTCCAAAAGAGGGAATAAAATAGAAAAATCCAATGATCTAGAAATAAACTAGAGCACCAAGCATAATAATTGATAAAGCCATAAAAAAATGTTTGAAATCATCTAGTTTTTAAGTTTGTATTTCAAACAAAATTTTGACTTGTGTAAGATGATGATGATGTTATAAATTTTTGTTATAATATCTATTATTAGTATTTTGTGCCAGAGAATTCACGGTACTAGAGTGATATATTGACGTATTAGTGTTGTACGAAGATCCGACACACACACAAGTAAAACAAATTAATAAAGAGAATTACATGAGCTTTTATGTGGAAAACCCAAATGGTAATAATCACGGGTCCTAGCTCAATTGATATAGTTCTATTATATCGATGTAGGTTACCAAAATTTACTGGCAATTGAATAGCGAGAAGCAACGTTACACAAGTGGAATGAGAATTTCACTAGAAAAGTGACAAAAATTACTAAGGAAATGGCAACGGCCCGTTTGCTGTGAAGAAAAATCAACAACAGAGATCAAATGCCATAAAATTTGATGTTCGCATCGATAATAGAGACAATGATAGTAATGATTGAGAAATAGAGGTCCGGTGATGGCGATGGAGGTAGTTCAGTGGTGATGGTAGGGTTCTTTGGCAGTGATAGTTGTCATACGGTGGTGGTCCAGCAATGACGAAAGTGATCAGGCGATGGCAACAACCAGATGATGTTGGGTTGACAATGATGGTCTGGTGGTGGCAGCGACCAGATGGTGGCGGCCTGCCATTATCCGACAATTATGGTGACCAAATAAAGGTGGTTTAGTGGCAACAGTAGCTTGATAGTATTAGGCTGGTAGTTGTGGTCCAGCAACAGTGATAGCTCGATAGTGGTGGGCTGACAACATGGTCTGGTGGTGCAAGTGCTAGCTCAATGGTTGTTGACCTGACCCGCAATTACAGAGTTATTTAATTTCCTAGACAAAATCTTAACTCAGTTTCTTTAGGCTGCTAATGCGTAAAATGGATATGCTATATAATTTAGAATTGATTTATATTTCACACACTACTGATTCTAAGCAAGTATACGCATCGTTTCAAGTAATATAAGACTTTCTTTAAAAACCTCAGTATCGATTCAACAAAGAAGCTAGGTAAGAAATCCCTTAGACTAATTCTAGTCTACTATTATCATGTCTTAGTTTAGAATTTTTGAAAAGTTTGATTTTGCTATATTCACTAATTTACTCTAAAATTAAAATTAAATAAAAACTAAATCTAAGGAGTCTGAATAAAATTTGGAAGTTCTTATATAATCAAAATCCCTTTCTCCTTGCAATGAGATCATAATCAATTTAAGAATCAAATATTTATAGGTTAAAATGCGGTTTTGTGTCAAATAGGAGTATACATATTTTTTACCCTCTCCCAAGTGCATAAATAATATTGACTAATCTAAAGTTAAGTTCCTAAATGATATGGTTATGCTGACTAGTTTCTAGCCAGATTACTCACCGTGCTCTCTCCATAGGACTAACCAAGCCTTAAGTTCCGAACTAAAGACCAAATTGATTAAGGTTCTGGTCTATCACTCTATAATCATCAATTTTATGCCCATAAAAAAATATCAGCCTATCTTCTTGCACCCCCCTGGACTTGGCTCCCCTCCATCGTAAAGCTAAGTGTGGTATTCACTACTTAGGTGAAATCACAGCCCTCTCAGGTCATTATGTTTCGCAACAGATTTTAACTTTACAAATGACCAATTTGTAAAGTAAATTAAAGACCAATGAAAATACCATAACAACTTTGGAATAAATGAAATCTTCAAACCATTCTAATCCCACAAATGATTAAATCTTCTTATAAGGAGAAATTGTAAGGAAAACCACTCACTAGTCATGGAGACAACATGACAGAAAAATTCGTTAAATCAAAACAAATTCACTAGAAAAGTGTTTAGAACAATTATAATAGAATGAAGAACATAATACTTAGTTTTTTTCCTCTGAAAGAAAGATGAAAATCTCTCAAAAAAATCTCCTGCTGATCCACAAAAAGATCTTACAATTCCTTACAGATATCTCTCAAAATCCCTCACCTATCTCTCCAAAAAAGGTAGAAATCTACATCTCCTACTCTATCTACAATCTCTGGACGTTCTTGGAGATTCTAAGAGTTTCAAATGCCAAAAGGTGTCTTCCCAAGTGCCACAAGGTGCTTAAGAACTCCTTGGGCCATCTAAAATGCGTCCACAACCGTTTCTGGCGCCTAGGCGCTAGAATTGGGGCATAGGCGTCGTTTTTTGTGCAAGACTGGCGCCTAGGCTCCACCCTGTTGGCAACTCCCTTGTTTCGCTCTGTTTCGACTCCAAACTGCTCCAAGTGTTATACTTACAAGATAAACATGAAAATAACATTTACTTAATGTAATTTTATTCAAAAATAAGTGATAAATATAAAGAAAACGAAATAAATTTTTGGTGTTGGATATGTGAATTCAGAAGAGTTACGTGTTATTTATATAACTCTTCCTTAGTAAAAAAAATACTTCGCCGCATATAACTTTATAATGGTTGAGCGCCTAGTTCTTAATAGATGTGTTATTTTTGGCCATTTCCTCCCCTTTCATTTTTAATTCCCTATGAAGATAGATTAAAATGAAGGCGGCCAAAACTTTGGGATTTTATATTGAGAGGCGTAAGTATAAGCTATTGTTGCAAAAAAAATAGTACATTGGATTCATTAGTAAATCATATAAATGCATTTCATTTTCCTTGCATTTATACTTATGCAGACATGGTAAAATATAGTTGGATAATGTTTAGAGTCCTTATTGCATATTGGTTTTAGTGTGCTTTGCAAGTTGTTTTAATTGTGAGGATTCACATACATACCTGTCGGCACTTAAAAGTTAGTTTAGAAAAATATGAAATCAAACTGATTTAATATCTTTCATAGTTTAAATGAAAGACCACTACACCTGAAGCCTTAAGAGTGAAGCTCAATCAAATAAACTAAGAAACATATGACATCCGTTTGGTCTGCGAAAATAGTTTTATTTATAAGCCGACAAGCGCCCATATTTAAAATGAAAAATCAAATAGAGTTTATATTAAGCTGGGTTCGGAAAAGCTTCCTATAAGGGCAAACCCCCATAGTTAATTACATCTTAGATAATCAATATCACCTAAAAAACTCTCGATAAAAATCAAGAGATATTATCTTCAAGGAGTTCAAAGGAATATGACTTTTTAATGAAATTGGACAAAGATGTGTGAAAAGAGAATAGCTCAAATTTGGAACACATATTGTAGAATTAAAAGGAATAGAGACTAGGGGATGCCATACATCCAGAGAAGAGTCTCGGTGATTTTGCCAAGCTACCCTATGGATTGGCTTCAATATGGAAGAGAAATATTTAAATGTTCCATCCTGCCAATTTTATTAATTGGCTTACATTCGTTTACATTCGTGTGAAACAATTACACAAATAGCTTGGAAGATATGAGGATTTAGGTCGTGCCAAACGACAACCTCGAAATCCTAAAATGAGTTAGGGCTTATATTGTGTAGTA